GATGCTTTAATGCACCCGCACATATTCAGTGTGGATGAGGTTTGTTATTGAGGTCTACAAAGGCAGCCTTTTCCAGATGAAAAAGGCCATAGTGTTCAATTTCTCTCTCAATACAAAGTGAAAGTATGTTTAATAATGGATCCTATGTAGCATTTTTCTGTACATACTTCTAACATTTGCAGGTTGATAATTTTTTCAGTTTGGTTTTTGGGTTTTTACCCCCCTCCTTTTTTTTTTTTAAGAGACAATGATCTTTCTAAAGCAATTACACTGCTTTCCATAGCTATGCATAAAACAAGCTCCTTGGAGTAGTAAGAATGAGAGAACGCTATCAAGTTGGCCTAAAACAACATCTGGCCCAGAACCCCATAAAAATGATAAAAATTACCACTGACACAGTGAGCCCTGCTGTTCTCCAAAAAGATACCATTCTCACTGGGAAAAAGTATCTCGGATATTCAGGAGTCTTTAGGAAGGTGGTCTTACTGATAATCCATCAGCTTCAGATTTTAAAGGCAGCCAGGGTGGGAGAGAATATTAAATCTATCATACCTCTTATAAGTCTGGAGATTACAAGATTACAAGATGAAATGAGCCAAATTTATTCTGGAAACATGTAAAAACTCTGTATCATGACCAGAATTTTGCAGAGACTAAGCCTTTAAATTATGGAAAGCATTCTAGAGAACCCAGATAGAAAGAGAGCAACACTTTTGCTAACATGTCCAGAATTACTAAAATTACCATACAGTTTTTAAAAAGTTGTCCTCAAAGAGGGTCTGAACTCTTGAGGCAAGAGGGAGCTAAAGAAAAATAAATTCTTCCCTTAAGCTAAAGTACCTGTTTTGGAGAAACTTTCCATGTATGAGAAACCAACGGTAGAAAGGTTCTCTACCTGGCAGCACAGGACTCTTTATATCAGTGTTCAGAAGGCTGCTATGGAACCATGAATATAGCAGACAGGGTCAAATATTGCCATAGGGGCCTGGATGTCCAAAGGATTGAAATGTCTGCTTCCCATTGCTCTTGGCATTCATGTTTTGATTCAATTCCTGACAGTGCGGCTACTCGGTATCGCTGCTTCAAAAGACAGATTGCACTGCTTACAGATTTCTAGGTGGATTGTTCTTCCTCTGCATTCATCTACTCCGTATGGGGGAAGTCTTTAGTTTGGATACACAAGCCTTGTCACCTCTGAGTAAGAGAAAACTGCATACTTTTTCATTAAGACCATGTATTACTTCAGATCCCTGTTCTGTATTACATAGCAAGAAGCTTAGTGAGCACTGAGATGCCCTTGGAATCTATCTATATAAAGCTTACATTGTCAGGATGATATTCAACCAACCAAATAATCAGAGGTCATCACAAGAGCAAGTAATCAGCCTCGTTTGTCTGGACACGTGTGCATATGTGTGCATGGAGGAAGAATAGAGGAGACATAATCTAGAGGAATTCCACTCCACAAAGAATGTAATTCTGGGCAGTTTACACTATGGTAAAACCTATTTTCAAGATGAAAGTAGTGGGAACACTGAGGAGGAATAGGTTTTTTTGCAGGTGATGAACATTTTGTACAGGTTCATTAAGGTAAGCAAAGGTTAGGACTCACCATCAGACTAACTGCTACATAAACCTTAGAAACAATAGTAAGATGGTCTTGATTTACTCTTTTTCTGGAATTATCACAACCCACTGACTACAGTCAAAATGCTTGACTCGAAAATATCTACTCTATTGACTGATGCATAGATTTTCAGTTTGCCTGCAAGTGCATTCAGAGAGAAAGCTGCTTCTTCCAAACAGGACCAGCTAAAAGTTTCCCAAGGAGGACAGCAAGGTGACTGCCAAATAGCATATAAATACATCAAAGCAAACAGCATCCTGAAACTACACACTTTTCCTTATTTTCTACAATATTTTCCTTTAGTTGGCTCCATGTCTGAGTCCACTGAATTGCTCTTCAGGAGCCCTTACTTTTCTGTTTTCACAAGGATTTTGACGGGTCTTAATGCAGCTGTGCTGCTAAAGTCTTTACCACGCTGTAGGAAAGTACTGATTCTTTCCAGAGTAAAAAGTATCAGCAAACCTGTAACAATTTCATGTATGGCTTTCATTTTCACAGAAAGTAAACAATGGTAATCTAGCCTACCAAATTGTCCCAAAGTTACCTCCCTTCATCAGGGGAGATACCAATGCCCTTTGAGGAATCTGAGAGAAATCTCTCTGCTCAGAAGTTCCCCTCTGTCATCACTTTTCAAGAACCTTCCTCTTGAAAAGCATGTCCTGTACCTGTCTGTACTCCATCCTCATTAAAATCCACTACTTCAGAATCATGCCATTAGCAGACTCCCTGCACTTGTGCCTGATCCTCACCCTTGAGAAAAATCAACAGGACAAAGGCCTTCCTGGATCCTTGAAGGACCCAAATGCTTTGTTAGATGTGCAACACGCAATATGCGCACGATGCATATGCAAGATGCACACACATACAAAAATGCTTAATTTGAAACAGAGCCAAAGGAAGCAGAATTCCTTACCTCAATTACAAGGCCTAGTAAAACCAGGCTTGGAGTTTTATTGGTTTGATTTCTTGAATATTATTTGATGGCATTATTGCAAAATCTGTTTTTAGAAGGAAAATACCTCTAAAGCTTTTACACCTGTGACAAGAAAAAGGACTAAAATTCTAAGAAAAATTTCAATTATTTTTTTCTGGGATAACCCTGCAGCAATTAAAGAGGCACTCATATTCATTTTTCAAGTGTTTCTGCCCAAGACATTCTAGTTTTCTATATGTAAGAAAGTGCATCTGCCAAAAAGAAGTCAGTCCAAGCTGGGCTTGGCTCTGGCATTTCTCAGGGTACAGGGTGATTTCACAGTTGGCCACACAGAAGATAAGCAAGCCAGACATGTAGATTTTCTATCTGAACACTTTCCATTTGTATCTAAGATGGAATGAGAGGTTTTGTTAAACTTAGAACTCCTATATTACAGGACTCTTAAGCTCTGCAACAGCCACTTGGACTTAAGCTGGCACCCTATCTTTTTTCCTCCTTTTCTATACAAAAATGAGGATAAAAGCAAAACAAGAGATGGCCTCTCACTAGTCTGTATTTGTAACGCAGACACAAGGCATAATGATTGTTGAGGAAAGCAATCTTTAGAGAATACACCATTCTCCCCAACAGCTTCCACAGCTAGCACATGATGCAACCATCTGGTCCTCTAACAACTGCCTTTTGTACGTTTTTGCAAAGACTCTGGCAAGAGATAGCAGAAGTAAATGCTCCTGCAAATCTAACGGATCTGCTGCTGGCTGTAAGGAGGCACAGTATGATAAGTACTAATACTTCAGTGAGTGTTTAACCCTGCCAGACTCATGTACAGCTTTGACAGAGACCTGTACTACAAGTACTGCAAGTGTTCCGAATCTCGTATCAGTTCTGTGACAGGTCACAGTGAATCCAGGAAACTCAAGATAGAACTTGGGTCCCGTATCGTAAAATTTCAAAAGTGAGGATGGTTAACTTAGGCAACATTGAGAAACCATATCAACCTATAGGCTCAAGTGGCTTCTTAGCAGAAATGAAGCACATCTGCTCCTACCAAGCTGAAGACCAGAATCTCACTTTTGGGAAAGGTGTACAAAGGCTTAGGCCCCAATATTGTACCAGCAAAAGTTTCAGGATAATGATAGGATAGCTTAATATTGGCAGGTTCAACTCCAATTTTCATCTAGACCAAGAAAAAGGACAAATTAATACAAGTTACCATAAGCATCTACAGCAAACTCACTTTTTAGACAACTTGAGACCTACTTGAAAAACTACCTGTACACACAGATGAGCTCAGCTTGCTATGCACTGTGGTTAACTGCTGAACTTCTTTTGCTCAGAAAGGTATCAGTTCTGCAGCACACTTGCTGTGCACTTCACACAGTTCATAAGATTGTTCACTGCAACATCTATATGCTAGAAAGCTCACAGCTCAGAGTTCACACCTCTTTACTGTAAAGTTTTAGAATTTAAATGTAGGCTTGACATAATGTATGCTAAGCAATACATTTGTGCTTTTCTTACAACTCCTTTTCATAATCTCTCCTCTCCCACTCAGACTTCTAGCTCCCTCCTCCTCCTCAGAGCAGTAGATCATTGCTGCTTTGTCCAGCGTCACTCAGCACTGGAGGAAGCTCTAGGCTGGCAAACAACAGCTGTTATTTGTTGTTTGGTGGGTTTTTTTGTTTTGTTTTGTTTTTTTTTACTTGACTAAACCGGACACCTACTTCTTTCTGACATTTAATAAGGGAGAATTATAGGAAATTTCTGAGATCTTACATAATCCACTCATTTTTCCAAGTTTTTCCTCATTTTCATAATTTTATATATCACCTTTAAGATATCTTCAAATGCCCTCTTATAAACCTCCTGATATTCCTGATACTGCCTGTATCCAACTATTACCTTTTTCTTTTACCCCAAAGTGTGTTTTCATTTCTGAAAAATATTCAGTCAAAGTAAGCTGTAATATCCTGCTGTTTACCCAACCTATTTTATCTCAAATTTGTCAGACATACTCAGTGAACGTTTAGAATAACCTTCCTATTCTTACTGGGTTTTAAGAGCAGAATAGCTTCCTGATCTAATGCAGGAAACCTAACACCAGTAATGCACTAATAATCCAGAGAGCTAGTTAAAGAAAATAAAGAGAGCCAGAGTAATTTCAGTCAACAGTAAATGAAAAGCACAAATAAAAATAATTTAACTTCTAAAGCTGGAAAAACACATGATCTAGGAATAACTTTCTTAATTCTTGCAGTGCGTAATGATATGTGAATAAGACTACGAATACAATAATGAATTGGACTCTCGAAGTAGCATGCCCTTTGAATTCACACCAGTTATACACAGGCACAAAGTATTTCTCCTTACCTTTCTTCTTTATCAAAAAAATAAAGCATTGTTTTGTTATTTCTTGCAGCTTTGCTGAGGTTTACTTACCGCTTCAGAATTATCGATGAAAGGGTCCGTTTCATCATAACCATAACCTATATCGATTAGATCCTGCAGGCGATCTTTCCGATGTTTGTGGGGCTTTCCACCCTGAAAACAAAGAAGGCACTATATCACTCAAGAAAAGCGGAAGGCATTGGAGGAACTGTCATTCAAGGACTTAGCAGTTTTGCTTTCTTGGATGCTTCCTTGAAGATGGTCTAGATGACTAATGAAAACTTTCACACAGGAATGAGTTCTGGCAAACACGCCTCACCACAATCATCCCTGAAAGGTATTCACTGGCTACCTGGTTTCTGCATGACTGAGATCTTCCTGACATTTCCCATTCGAAGTTTCACTGGCTCATGGTTTTAAAGCATAGTGTTAGTACTGTTAGTGATAGAAGAGCTGGGATAATTTAAAAAATGTGTTAAGTTTTTCACTGTGTTAGCGTCATTATAAGGGAAAACACTGACAGCCTAGCATTCAGTAAAGTGTTTCCCTACACAGGCATGATTGCTTCTCTAAAGTCAAGTCAAGCCTAAATCAAAAGAAAAAAAATACTGGTCTAGCACTTGTAGATCTGGTGTCTAAGAGTTTAAAAAGTTAAAGCATTCATATGACATAACTGCAGAAAAATGTATTAAGATAAAATCCTTTGAAATGCAAGATCAGTCACCTCAGTTGACAGGACTGCAGATAAAACATTGAGTTTTAAAACATGAAAGTTACTTGAGTCTTAAAGCCAGAAGCTGTGTCACAGACTATGGGCTCACTTACCTCTGGGAAGCAGTAAAATTAGTTTTAACCTGTAAGTATTTTTTTCATATGGAAATTCCATTGTTAAATCAAGTCAAGTAAAAACTCACACCCAGTTAAAACATTCAAGAAATCTGAACTTAAAGTTTTCTAGCACACATATGTTGTCAAAACGGTCAACATACAAGTCTCACGAGATGAAATTCTCCAAAAGGCACCACACTCACTAAAACATTAACTTCTCCCATGAGTTCAAGAAGACTTGCTCCTGAAAATTGTCTGCCTGCACTCTACAGTTCTGGGCATGCTTAAAGTTAGTGTAAGTCTTTCCTGTTGTGACATCCAAATATCATAGCCCACTTGTTAGTAAAAGTATGTAGACACTGTTCAGAGGAGGTTTCACCTTTGGTGTTTTATGAAAAGTATAAGCATCTGAACACCTCGTTTTAACAACATTTGGCAAAAATTTAAGTTTGTAACAAAGCAAAGTAGCAAACAGGAATGTCTCAAGCATACTTAAATAAATATATGCCCTACTCCTAGGAGAAAAAACTCAAAAGTGCATTCTGTTTTTAATTCAGGTTTCCAAGCTATATTCCAAGCTAAGTGTTGTATCAGTTTTATTATCTGCTGCAGTCACTCATCTCGTAAAACATCTGAATGACTGCACATTCTCAAAACATAATATTTAAAAAAAGATGAGCCTGAATTAGAGAAGAAAAAAAAAGACAAAATGCTAGAAAAATAAAGGCAAAATTCTGATTAAACTCCAGTCCATCCAGTGCAAGAGCTTATGTAATTCATGATTCTGACTTAAGTGCCAGTAGGTTGTATAAGAACGCTTCATAAACTATACTTCACCTCTTCACCTGTACTGATCTCACTAATGTGTAGTGCAATCCACCTCTGAACTACACATCTTGCTAGGCCCAAGTAACTATCAACATCCTTGTTTGTGAGTCTAAAATCCTTTTGCAGTAATGGTTATCCTGTGATTCTATGATTACTATACAGCAGTTCAAGGAAGTTTTACTACTGAAGCTTTCCTCTAACCTTTCAGTCCCAGAACATAAGCAGTCATGGTACCAGAGAAGATTAAGACGTCTACTTCCCAAAGATGCAAATGCGACTCATGCAAGTATTCAAAAAAGCCAAGTAAGACTTCAACAAATTAACTGTGACATGTAACCTTGGGTTTAAACAACCTTTGCCCAACAGGACTAGAAGGTGGGTGGCAAATACAATGCCAATATTTGAAGACTCTTTTAAGGGCCACAGTAGAATCTATAAACCAGTAAACCTGGTCTCTACATTGGGTAAGTTAATAAAGATTATAAACAGAACCAGCAGGCACAAGAATATACATTACAGAGCAGGAAAGAATTTTGGTAGAAAGCAGTAGTACTTCAAGTGCTGTAAAAAAAGTCCAAAGATCTTTGAAGACAAGAAATAGTAATGAAATAAGGAGGGTCCACTCAAACTGATGCCTGATCTAAGACTAGGAAAGAAAAGGCAGAAATAAGTATTTCATTTTGGCAAAGAAAGCAATCAGTGAAATCACTAAGGAACGTGTATTCCTATTCATCTTAAGAAGCAACAGAGAGGGTTAACAGTTTGGGGAGAGTAGGGGTGTAAGATGACAAATTACTGAGAATAGTAAAGAAAAAAGACAAGAATCACTGAAAGATCTCACAGTTGCTCTGAATTTAGTATGGGAAGTAGTCAGCTGAATTCAGTATCAATAAAAACAAGGTAATCCACACAAAGGCAGTAAAACCCAAGCAAGAAAAAATACAGTACACTCCAAATTTGTTACGTTACCCAGGAAGCACTGGAGCTGTTACGCAGTTTCATGACATTTGATCTACAGTCACAAGTGGTCAAAAAAGTAAGAATTGGGACTTAAGAAAAAAAAAAAAAAGGAACGGAAGAAAAAACCCAGAAGTCGTCATTGTATCACTGATAAATCAGGGCACCCTACCATTAATATCCTTTCATTTAAAAGAAGAAATTAGAACAAAAAAGGGAACAGCAATCCAACAAGGATGTTAAAAGGCAAAAATCACTGCTTCCATACAGTAACAGAATGTTAAGACACTACAGCTGGAGAACAAAATGGCTGAATTCAGATGACAGAAACAAAAATCACATGCAGTGCACGGGAGAACTGGGTATATTTCACTGTTTCTTACAATACAGAAACTATGGAGAACCATGTGAACTCATCAGGTTTTAACACAAAGTATGTTTTTATAGGACCACCATCATGGTACTCAGTGCCACAGAACACAGAAATCCAGTAACAATCCAGCAAATCAATGGCAGAAAGCTACAGAAAGGTTAAACATGCAGCCTTTGGCTTTGGGAGAAATTAAGACACAGATTGCCAGACAGGCACAGTGAGCTAATATCAATGCACACTTGCTCGGTTGTACTTTCAAGAACGAGATTTCATCAGTGTCAGAGGACTATGCTACCATCCATTAGACGGATCTTTGTTTTGATCCAAGAAAAATTCTTACACTGGGTACAATACTGCCTGAAGTTCAGTATCGTGTTCACAACAGTGTTGGATTTTGTCTAGAGAATAACAGCAAACAAAACAGTGAAAACAGGAACCCTTTGGAGCAGACTTTTATGCTGGTATTTAAAACGTGCTGCAATTCCAAAGAAGTGTTGAATAATCAAGTAAACAAATGGTATGTTATGATTCTTGTTTTACAAAAATTTATTCATAGGTTTTTTCTTAGGATCTGGAAAATATATCAAATAATATACTGATTCGATTATAAGTACGGGAATTTATCTGAAAAGTAGTAAGAAGTCTTCAAAGTAGACTGTTCTTCACATACTAAATTTTCCAGAAGTACTGTTGCACATGCTATGATTAAAAACAAAGTCTGACTCCATTTTAAAAGGATATAGGTAAGTAATACCTAAGTAATTTAAGGAGGATATAGTGCTTCCTGCAAATCAGAAATAGAGGGCTGGGTTGTTTTTTTTTCCATTTTCATACAACCAGTGATTGCTTTCAGACTGTTAAGGAGTGTCATGGCTTAACTCCAACTGGCAACAGTACCACCCAGTCTCTCATTCACTTGAGGAGAAAGGATATCTACTACATGGGATCCCTGCTCTAGTTTAAGCCACGGAGTGAACATCTCACAAGAGTCAGAAGATGGCTGGATGTTGTCAGAAGGAGCAGCTGTACTGGGTCAGTGTACAGAGCTGCAATTCCTCTGAGTATGGATGGCAGGTAAAGACTGATGATTCTCATATTGGAAGAAAGAAAGGACAGATAATATCTAACACAAGAAATCTTAATCCCTCACCACCCTCCATGCTTAGTGGCTCTAACCTAGTAAGTTGTTCTTTATATAGAAGACATTATACCTTTTGTGGGGTTGAGGGGCATAAGGTAAGGCAGAGAATGAAAGGGAAAAAAACAGAAGTGCAAGCAGTAATCAAGATACAAGTGCACCATGAATTTAAACTGTTGAAAATTGTACATTTTTGTTACTACTGCTTTCTAATGGTTAAAAGCTTCTATTTGCTCCTTTTTATGACTACTGAGCATTAAACTCATTTTATTCAGTCTAATGACTTTTTGTCCACAAATGTACATGTTTAGCTTTGATGTATGCATAAATGTATATGTAAAAATAGATTACTTCCACTACCACTCCCTCCTAACATATACTGCTTTACATGCTTACATAGACTTTCATCTACTGTAGTTAAGCAACTTGTTTCAGGACATTGTAAGTCCTTACCTTGTATTATGGAAATGAGTTTTCTAAAAAAGTACAGTTAAAACAGTTTTCTCTCACATTCAAAAATTATTTATCATTCAAATTAAAAGCAAACAGTATTCTGAAACTGCCTTCTCAATTCACTTCCTATAATGGATTCTGTCAATCCCTCCAAAAGACGAAAAATTTTTTTTTCAGTTAAAGAGTTTATTTTGTTATGTATTACAGCTAACATGCCTCAAAATAGTAATTACTGCTACAGAATGTATAGATTGCCCACTCAAAAATCTGCCTGTGCTAGAAAAATAAAAAATAACAAAGTAATCAAAAAAGATAGATCTTAATATGTGTATTAATAGCAAAACATACAAATGACTGCTCGTTTCCCTTCTTTATTATTGAGGTGCTCTATTAGTAATCCAGAATATCAACATGCCTCAGCATGATGATGAGCTTTGATTGCCAGCTCAGAATTAATCATCCAACCCTACCCATATGAATTCTTAAAGACCTGTTTGGGTGTGGTTTTTGTCAACATTTTCTGATTTCTACCTTCATTTACTAATGTAAGCCTCTTTATGTTACTAGCTAGCTTTGTTCAAGTCATTCACACCACTTTCAGGACTCAGCAGAGTATCTTTAGGCAGCTAGCAGCTACAAGAAATTCATCGACTAATGTCTTACTATTCAACAAATAACTTCCAACAGAAGCATTCCAAACTAGTCAGAAATTCATCAAGATTCACCAGTATTTAGCCCAAACAGAAGAGTTGTTCAATAGCGCATAACAGCATTACATAATTCTTTCCTCCAGCACAGTATTTAGCATGAATATCGACCTGTATCTATCAGTTGTATTTATATAGGAAGCTTTTCCAAGAATAGCTTCACAAGCTATAACATCTATAGACAAATCTATTTAGCAGACTTGTCTGATAAGCTTGTGGCAGCTTCAAGGTGCTTAAATGAAATACAGTGAGACAGTCATCTCTGAAATGTACAGAAGTCATTTGACACTACATCAGCAACCTTAATCAGGAAAAAACCAACCCCGTGATGTTAAGACCTCTACAGCATCAGAAGTTATCACTATTAAATATTTGTCTATTTTAACAAAGCACAGTAACTCACGTATTTTGCCTCAAACTTCTTGGCAAGCATTTCTACTTCATGTCGCTCACGTTGTTCATCATTAAACGGATCTTCCAAGTGAACTGATTTCTTCTGAAAAAGCAGAAGTTACATATTCATTCCACAAGAAATACAGAGTGCATCTGATAAAAACCTATTATGTCAATAAACAATGCTCTGATGACTAAGTAGCTAGAATACATACTGTGTCCAAATACTTACTTTGGTCCATAAAAATTAATTTGACTCATTCAATTATCATTCAGTTACTTTGCTTCCGATAAAAACACCAATAGAAAAGAGAAATATTGAGATTTGTATTTTCCCAAGCATTCCATTACAACCTCAACTGCAAGTGTAAGCGTTAGAGCAAATTATAGCCATTTGAGATTCAAAGAAAAAGAACTCTAAATACAACTCCTTTTCACTTCTGCTTCCACTGGTGCATCTTAGGTGTTGTGGCCCTTCTAGATACAACAGACTGGATGCACCTGGTAGACTGACCAGTAGGGAAGCAGCCAGAAGACCAAAAAAAAAACCAACTCATTAAGATATAACCATAACTAGAATAACTTTTTTATCTAAAGAAAAAAAACAGTGCAATAGTTAATTTCAGTGATCATAGCATGAATTACAGAAGACTGACACTATGTTAGCCACAAGGACAACAGAGATTTAATATCCCAGCTACACAAATAAGCAGGAAGTACCCCCCCTTCTTTTTTAATAGAAAGAGGTTTTCACTGACACAAAGTCAATGAACATAGTGATTTTTATTGAATAAGTTACAGCAGAAAACCAGGGCTGTCTCCTTCAAATTAGAGCTCACATAAAATACAGTAATTGCTGTAAGGGGGCAAGGTACTTAGATGCTAAAATATACTAGAATGGAGTTCCATTTTACAGAACATTATGGATGGCAACTAACTTTACTGCACATGGACCACTCATCAATGAGTAAATGAAGATTTATAATAGACTAAGTTCAGAAAAGCAACTTCACAGTGTGAAAAGCCAGTATATCAACTATATAGTGACCAAAGTAGCTCAATAGTATCAAAACCAATATAATAAGGAAGGTAAGCATAAATGCAAACACCACATAATTGTCATATATTTTCTTGAAGAAGAAATTAATAGAGGCTATGGTTAGTCCTGAAACATGGGTTAAAGTCACATATTTCCTGCAGGCATAATTAAATATCAAATACTGCTCAATTCATGAAACACTGTTTACTCTACTTTTAGCTGGGAAGACCTATTCCACATCATCTGCTAGACATATGTGGCTTTTTTTAATTGTGAAATGAGACAAGGTTAAGGCCAAATATCAAGTAAAATTTAGTACTTAAGTGTTAACCTACCTCCCTCCACCAAATTCTCAAAGCTGTAGCTGACTATCAGTTTGATTAGTTAAGCACTACTGCAAACTCAACTTCAAGCAAATTTTAGTCTTGCCTGTTTCTGAGCAATGGACAACTCTCAGACTAAGGCATTACTACTTCAGCACCTTTACAGTCTGCTTGAGAGAAGCCAACTTGGGCTCCTGGCTCATCCACTTTGACTTAGGTTTTATGCACCAAACCTCAGTTACACCAACAGAATCGAGAGCACGCTTTGACTTCCACCAGCATTTAAAAGGCAAATGAACTCGTCAACCACACTAACTTATTACTTGCATTCAAAAACTTTACATAAATAATTCCTACCAAAAGATGAACTCTACAAACAACCCTATCAAAGGATGTTCTCTTTATCAGGGCAAAAAAAGAAGGACAAGGACAGCGCAAGTTTGTAAAACAAACATTCCCACTCTAGCTTCTGATTCAGGATAAGAACTCAAATTTGGAGTAAGAAAAAAAAAATAGAAGTTGCACTGTCAATTGAGTTTGGAGATTTTCTATCATTCCATTAAGAGACCTATTAAAACAATGCTGGAAATTATTCCTGAGCACCCATCCCTGCCTTCCCGGAAAAGCCTAACTCTAGAGAACCTTTCTTGTTTGCTTCAGTTCCAAGCAATACTACAAGACAGAAAGACAAGCTCCTGAGCTTGGAATGTTAAACTTTAAGGGGAAATGTTATAAGAAATTTGAGCAACTTCTTATAAGAGAGAAGTCAACAATAGCTTTCAGAAAACCAAATCAATCTTCACGTTACAAGAAGTTGCATGGTAAAAATAAAGTTTATATGACCTCTACATTTTAAACTGAAACACTACTAAAACAACAAAATTTTAAAATCTAAAACTCCACTTAAGCCCACAACATTAACTGCCAACTTTTGGAAAAAGCAAATTTCAAGATTTTAAGTCTTCCCTCCCACATTAGAGTAGCTCTACCAGCTTCTTCATATAGCAAGCAAGAAGTTAAACTGACAGGCCAAGTATGCATCAGTTTTTAAACATCAATGACTTAAAAAGACTGTAATTTATGACACTGTTTTATATAAACAGCTGCTTGTTCCACACAGTCCAGCAACCAACAGGCCATTATGATCCATTCATTTCAATATAGACTCTACAGAGCTGAGAAACATACACAGTTTCTTACAAAGCATTTCTATCACCAGCTCTACCTTAAAAGCAGTCTCTGATCCCAATTGTAACAAAATCTCCCAAATCAATGCTCTCCCCCTAGCCCCAGAAGACACAGAATTTGCATCAGAACTACATCAGAAAAAGCCATTTTCCCCTGATTCTGATTAAGATACTGGCAACCTACAGAAAAAAAGGCAGTTATGGAACTGGGAACTGCCAAAGGGAAAAGTCAGTCTCCACGTACTGAACCACTTCTATCACCAACACAATTTTCACCTTCATACAAAAACTGCTCAGAAAGATTGCACTTCACAGAGCAGCACGATTATGTTACGCTAATTCAGAGGAGTCATAACTGGCACTGTTTGCCCACAACAGCTGTAGGACAGGATGAACAGAAGAAACCTTTTAACTTGCATCACAAGATCACAAGAGGGATTAAAATCAGTCACCGATTTTTCTGTCTTGTACATTTGAACACAATCCAGTGTGTACATCCCTCCCAGAAAAAAACTGAGCAGGATGCCAAGTATAGTTACGGTATCATCACCACCCATACTCTGATTCATAAAACATAAGTTTTAACCACTCTCGAGTTTGTGCTGGATGTAAAAATGCCATGGCAGTATCAATACTGGTATCTAAGACTTACTTTTATTACCAGATCTACCACAGAACTTCTCAGTAGTAGTTACTTACTTGCCCCTTACTTTTTCCACTATGAAGCAAACTTTCTCTAAAATTCTGTACTGGAATTAAAAGGAGCCACAACTATTTAAATCAAGTGTAACTTCACTGGTATCCTCAACTAAGAACGAATGGCTCAAATGTAACCAGCTTAAGAGGACATGCGTCTCTCCTTCCTTCTTGGAACACTGGGTCCTGTTGATTGGCTAACGCTGCTTGCTTCTTAAATCTGCCTACACAAGTTTTGCTCCTTAATAAACAAAGTAGCTCAAGCACCAAACATTTTCTTTGGGCAGAAAAGAGAAAAGGAGAGTACTTTCTTTTCTTGAATTAAGTTCTTAACAGTTATAGGTGAGGTTAGTGTTTCAACATTAACTCTCATTTATGCCCATCCCCTCCAAGACTGCAGAAACTCCTCTCCAAGTCTGCCAATGCTCACTTCACAGTTTCTCAAGGATCGTAGCAGAGCTGGGCTAATAACTCTTCATTTACCTGCACACAACCTGGAGACAACCCTGATCACAGATCGGCATAGTTACAGTGTCCTTCTTGCCGGAAAAAAGCTTCCGGGAAGGGAGGATGCAACAGCACTACTGCTCACCGAGCAGGGAAGGGGAGCGGCGGGGAGGGGAGCCAGGGTAAGCAGAGCACAAGACAGAGGCGGTCCCCCGCCTAAGCCCGCAGCAAAGGCCAGGAGACCTCGGCCAGCTCAGGGACGACAAGTGCGAAGCCTCCCCTTCCCCCACGGGCACAGGCGCAGCCTCAGCACCAGGAGGAGCCCGCAGCGGCGGCGAGGCCGCCGGACTTCCCTCCAGGACGCCGCCCCTCCCGCCAGGCCGGGACCACCTCCGAGCAGCACGGGGTGACCGATAACACGGTCGAGGCCGGGGCCGCCCGCAGCTGGGAGGTGGAGGAGGATGATGCGCGGCGGGGCCCATGCCAGCAGCAGGGGAGGGGAAAAAGGGGAAGGGGAGGTCCCGTACCTTAGAGTCCCCGCACAGCAGCAGCTCCGGGTAGCTGAACTCCACGCAGCCCTCCTCAGTGGGGTCCTTCAGCACCACCTCCAGGCGGACCGTCTGGCGGAGCGGGAGCGCCTCCCGCGGCGGCGGCGGCTCCTGCCGCCCGCTCTGGCGCGGCAGTGGCGGCGGCAGCGGCGGCGGCTCGGGCCGGGGGGGCTCCCGCTGCGGCGGCTGCTCGGGCCGGCCGGGGTCGCGGGGCGGCTCCGGGCGGGCGGCGCTGTCGCGGGGTGGCTCGTTCGGTGGCGGCTCCGGCGGCGGAGCCTCGCGGCCCGCCGGCGGCGGCTCCGGGTCGCGGCCCGCCGGCTCCCGCTCCAGCGCCGGGCTCTCGCCCTCGCGGCGCCGCACGGGTGACAGGCTGATGAACGGCACCCGGCGCGGCTCCGCCATCCTCCTCCTCCGCCGCCGCCACCCCCCCCTCCCCCCCGCCCGCCGTCCGCCGGCCCCCGCCTCTCGCGTTCGGTGACACCGCTCTCTGCGCTCCCTCCCACCGGCCCCAGCTCCTCCCTCTCCCCTCCTCCCCGCTCCGCCGCCCGGTCGGAGCTGCCCCCTACGTTCTCCTCGCCGCCCCCGCCATCTTGGTGCCCCCCCACATAAATAGAAGCAGC